GCATACGCATCTGAAAAACTGATCGTAGGGAAGAGAGAGCCTAGACAGTAGGATCCAATCCAACGTCCGACGACGGTTGGAATGATATTCTCGAGCACTCTGCCAACACTAGCAGTGACACCGCTGATCCACACTCTGAGATCAAGCACAAGGAGGCCCGCCTGAAATACACTCCAAAGACACAGAAGTGTGCACAAACAAGACAAGAACTGGTAGAAAGAAGAAACAGAGCGTGGGAGAGCAGACAGCAGGAGCATGCAGAAGCTAGAGATAAGCTCACACCACGAAGAGGAGACGGCCTGCCCTGGCGATTTTGCAAGTCCATGAACGTGTGATGGAACTTGTCGATATTCACCTGTCTGGTGGTCGTACGTCGAGGAATCAGAGGCAACTCAGGCAGCCACGGGCGCTGACTGAAGTGGTGACTCGGCCCACTCACCATCGCGGTCCAGGTGCTGGTAAAGGAGCGTTCCAATAGCTGGTACGTCCTTGCCCTCGAGCTGGCCCTCCGTGGCGCCCAGGCTTTTGCATTTGCGAATCCACTGGTCGGTACTCTTCTTCTTGCCAATCTCCGTCCACCACGCAGCGAAAGGCGTCCCTGTGGCTGGCAACTGAGATGCGTACGACTTGACATCCTCGCGATTCTTCGAGATACCGAGGTGGCTGAGTGCCAACTCATGCTGGGCAATAGTCATGGTAGGCAGACGCAGCATGTACCTGTGGGGCTTGAGCAGGTTGTCCAGGCTGAGCTTGCTGCTGACCTTTTCCACCACCTTTTGCATTCCACTCCCAGGGATCAACGCCACCAGCGAACAGGCCCTCCATCAGGCTCCTCAGGGCCCTCACGCCGTTGGAGGTCGTCGCCGTCGATGTCTGGATGGTCTGCAGCTGGTCGGAGTGGCCCTTGATCTCCTGCTGCATCGCAGCCAACTCAGCACGCCAGCACGCATGCGTTTTCATGACGGGATTGTTCTCCAAGTCGTTAGGCGAGCTCTCATCAAGGCCAGCTGCTTCTGCCAAACGCTTAATCGTGTGTTGGAGCTTGCTGTCAGATCCTTGGGCTCCGTTCATCACACTTGTGAGCGCCAACGCCAAATCACGAGCGGGTTGGTTAGCCGATGCCATGCCCTGGACGGCCTGGTGTCCACCGGCGTTGGGTGGTGAGCTGCCCGCGGCAGCTGCTTGATCCGCTTGGCTAATGATACTGCTGATGCGGCCAATCTCTCCAAAGGCCCGAATGCTGTCAACCATGCCACTCCACTGTCCAAGCATGTTGCCGAAACCGCCCATGCCACCACTGCTGTTACTACTGTATCCGCCGCCTTTACCTCCCCAGCCGCCGTTGTTGTAGTACGAATTTTGTCCCTTGTGGCCCTTGGGAGCCCCCATGGCGGACGAGCTGGGAGACGAGGTGAAAGGAGGACGGCGCAGGCGGAGTGCGATCAACTCAGAGACCTGGTCCAACCGAAAAGAAATGGCTGTGGAGGTAGGGATAAGATGCTGGCAAGTACGTTCCACCATGTCTAGACAGAGGTATACAAGGTCCATGCGTCCACCTGGAGGATAGATGTTATACCACATTTTCCTAACACAACCACGAGGGTATCCCATACGATAATAGAATGCCATGTCGGTAGTATAGACAACAATCAGGTCGATAGTGTAAGGGTTAAGTCTATCCCAGCAATGAAGACGCCCTTTTAGTTCAGATCGTAGTTGTCCTAGCTCACGACGGGTAATGTGTCCAAGGTAGGGCGGAGCACTCTGTTTTTTAAGTCTAGAGATATCCCCACTAAGCACATACTCCTCATTTTTGTGTTGTGGGATATATCTGACCCCGTCAAATCCCCAAACCACAAGAGCATCCAAATAACGAAAGACCACACTTGACCCAATCTGTTGGAAAGAGCTGTCCAATTCAAAAACCACAGTCTTTTTATATATACAATACATCTGCTTCCATAAACAAGAACGACCAACCCGATAAGATAACAAGATGGTGTCGTCAACGTATCTTCCTGCAGCCACTTCAAGTGCACGTCGTGAAGTAGTAGGCCTAGGTATAGGGTGCTGATCGCAATGGTATTCGAGGTAGGAGAGGACGAGGTGGAGGATGGTCCCCGATAGCGGCCCACCTATTGCAATACCTGATAACTGAGCTAGGGCAATACCAGAGAAGATAAACAACCGAAACCCGAGGAAACCTTCAATCGCACGCTTAAGGCTGCTGAACAGGAATACGGTGCGATCCCAGTGTCGAATGCCAATCCGTCCTCCGAGTACGACCTGGGCTGTTGTAGTGTGTAGAACCGAAAGCGTCCGTGTCCTAAGCTGGGCCTCGGCTTGTTGAAAGAGAGAGTCGACGGCAACGCGTATAGACTTGGACTCCAGAGCTTCATATGCCTGGCCCGCGTCAGACACGGTGAACCCCGGGTAGTCCATGCATGCACGGCAACGTACACATACAGCCTGTCTCGTACCAGGGAGGTAACAAGGAGGTGCCAGAAGGCCAACAGCGACGTCTAAATCATCAAAGGCAGTATCTAGCCCACGAAAGGCCCATCCAGGAAATATAATGTTGGTAAGATAAGTAGTACCTCTAGAGATCCTTTGATAAAGCTGTCGTCCTGGAAGTTTGAAAAAAAACTGCAGATGTTTCTCATACATGAGTGTCCCGTCTTAGTACATTTCTTGTTCCCATGGTCCTCGAAGCATTTCCGTTTTACCGTAGGGTAACCGTAAGGTAGATTTTGCATACCAATAGTTCTCTGTGAGGGTGGCCTGACACTCTTGGGGACACTGAAGTCGCACGTTAGACGGTACCACTGGAGGATATGAGGTAGGGGGGGAACGTTTAGTCGCCAACGGCTTTGGGCATGAGCGATGAGACCTAGCCAGCGGCACTGCATGTGAACAATACTGGAACCCCAGAGTGTCCGAGGGTCCTTGTCTTCCACAGTATAACTAATGATTCCACGTGTGGCCTCCAAGCCCCTGCACAGACGATAAAGCGCCTGCCGCGGTGCCGTCGTCGCCCGAGGGGGAGACTCTCAAGAATCATCCGTGGCAAACAAAGTGACCGAGAGCACATGCAGGAAGATGGGGTCAACGGCAGAGCGTCGAAGCCAGGAAGCACACCTGGAAATACTGCTGGGTGACACATCCTGGCATACTTCAGGCATCCAGGGAAGACGTCCACAAACAGGTAACCGAAAAAGATCTTCTCCTTCAGCTGATATCCTCTAATCCTCCAAAGTTATCTTGTCCAGGAAATCGATGTTATGCTTCGCCAGGTCCTGGGTGATGGATTGACATTGTTTTTGTATAGTCTGCTTTGCCCCCAGGGAAATACGAACCTGTTTTCGTGCGAGTAGGGTCCAGGCAGGCCGGGCGAGGGAGGTGTGGTGGAGGACGAGGTTGACCTATTTTCGCACAGGCTTGAGGTCAGCCTCACGATCCAATACGAGCGTGACACCGCCTGGACGAGGCAAACCCATCATCTCCAACTGTGTCGCAAGCGAGGCCTGTACGATAGCCTTCTCGTGCCAGAAGGGAAAGACTGTACACAATCCCCACAGCGTATACAAATAGTCAGAACCGTGCCGCTTTCCACGGAGAGCGTGCTGCCACATCACCTCGTGAGACTTCCATGCACAGAAACGAATGAGCAGGATCGCGTTGATGGGGTCATACAAATACAAAGGTCCAAAATAATGGTATCTGGCAAGATGACGTCGAAGAAAGAAGTCATACACACTATAAACATGTCCACGCAATACTGTGTTCCATTCCCGAACGCGTTCACGTTTCCTAGTTTGTCTTACATGAAGGGTGCGAAGGGTTTCAAATCGTGCTCGTTGCCAAACCTCATGCATTTCCATATTGTCCAGAGCCCGAGGAAGGTGTAGACGGCGTTCATGACGATTTTTGCGACCCCTGGGACCTTTGTTCCGTTGTTGTCGTGAACGTGTTGACATATGTTTGTGGGTGACGAAATCGCCGTAGGCTTTCGCAATGTTATTTGCCTCTGGACACGCAAATGTAATATACGATGCCTCGATCGCCGTGGCCATGTGCGTGGGCATAATGGTCATGAACATGATGGATATGGTACGTGCATGATGTGAAGCAAGCAAGGATACATAACGTGCTCGATCAGCTAAGGGCTTATCCAGCTTACATTGCTTTAAGGCTTTGTAGTGCTCGCGTGTCCTAGCTATAGCTCCGCTTAGTGTTCCAGTACGTCGTCGAATACTACCTTGTCCTATGTATCGTGCGTGTGTACCAATTTCATATATAAACGACGTCGCCCCCGAGGAGCGAGACGATGAGCCCATAATACATGCTACTTGTATACGTAGAAAATCATGTAGAGCAAGGACGTCGATAAATGTGGCCCCATGTGGTCTCGACAAGGCTCGCTGGAGATCAACGTCCAATGGAAGACAGATATGCTGTACCGTCCGACGAGCCCGTCGTCCCTGAGTCCAGAGATATCGTGTGTAAGTAATCTTGTGAGAGACCAAGAGTGTCACGTACATCGCTGAAAAATGAAGGGTTGATACACAATCATCACCTGCGAACTGGTCGGAGAATTGCTGGATAAGATGGTCCAGGAGAGAGAGATAGTCCATGGACGGCTGAGCACACGATACTTGCCAAAGAGTTGCCATCATCAGCTGATCCACAACGTCCGTCGTGCGGGTGTGAGGAATATCGTTGCCCCTGAAGCTAAGAGAAACAGTAAGATGAGGAACCCAATCCGTGATGCTTCGAATCTGCTGCTCAAGGATGGGTTCGACCAAACTTTTGGACAGGTGAGAGTGCGTAGACTTAGAAGACATAGATGTTCTCAAGCTTGCATCTACTAACTTAGTGATGGATGTAGAGGGTGTCCCTGCGTCGCAGGGCTGAATCGTAACAGCACAAGTTAGTAGAAGTCGAACTACGAGTACGAGTAGGTTATGAACGTTGCGAGAGCGGTACAGTCTGGCATGTCGTCGGACCTCCACACCATCGCAAACACATCGTGATGAGCACATATACCCAATCAGCCTTAGACCAAATCCCAAGATATCAAGATTTCAATCCCAAGACATCGGAGGATCGGAATGGCCGACAGGCCAGTTCAATAGACGAACGTTTTTATCAGAGGGCGACCAGGGCACGGTAACTGAGCGTCGCCTGCAAACCGTGCTCCCGAGACTTAGAGTCTCCTCTGAGAGATGTGGCTGCAGGAGGTAAAAGCAAACAATGACTATGAGAACAGGCATGCATGCAAGAAGGGTGGCGGCGGCTGGTGTCGACGGTGCTGGTGTGGGCGCTGGCGATCGCAGCGATGCTGGCCTGCCGTGCAGGCTTCAATACCAATAAATATTGAAAGACAACAAAGCTGAGAAAGGATGTAAGCACATACACACACACACACACTCACGCACCCGCACCCGCACCCGCACCCGCACCCGCCCCCGCCCCCGCACCCGCACCCGCACGCGCACCCGCACACGCACCCGCACACGCACACGCACACGCATACGCACACGCACACGCACACGCACACGCACACGCACACGCACGCACACACACGCACACACACACACACACACGCACACACGCACACACGTACACACGCACACACGCACACACGCCACACACACACACACACGCACACACACACACACGCACACACACACACACACGCTCACGCACACGCACACGCACACGCACACTTACACACACACACACACACACACACACACACACACACACACACGCACACACACACACGCGCACACACACACGCACGCACGCACGCACGCACACACACACACACACACATACACACACACACACACACACGTTGGGGGGGAACTCAGGCAGGGGGGGCCGCTACGCCGCACCGCAGGTGGCGGCCGCATTCCAGATGCTGGCGAACAAGGCGTTCCCAGGCGCCCCGAGGTGCCCCCGCGCGCACGCGCGCGCCGCTCCCGCGAGGGAGGCGCCTCGGCGCCCCCCTCTGAGCCCAGTCGGCCGCCGAGTGTGGTGCCCAAAGGCGGGCCCGCTCGACGGCCACACGGGCCTCCTCCTCCGCCTCCTCCTCCCCGGTCGCCTGCCGGCGAGCCGCACCAGCAGCGGCGCCGGCCGAGGCGCTGGCGGGCTGCAGAGGAGGCGCGGAGGAGGAGGAGGAGGAGGAGGAGGAGGAGGAAGTGGAGGAAGTTGAAGAGGAGGAGGAGGAGGAGGAGGAGGATGAGGAGGAGGAAGAGGAGGAGGAGGAAGAGGAGGAGGAGGAGGAAGAGGAGGAGGAAGAGGAGGAGGAGGAGGAGGAGGAGGAGCAGTGCCCGTTCGGCTCCAGTTCGGCTGCCAAGTGGGCTCAGAAGGGGTCAGTCAACGGTCCAGTTCAATGGTGTACTCGCCGGTGCATATCCTGCTCGCCAGCGTATGTCACTCGCACAGACATCCACTGAACAAGAGGGAAGATAGTGAGCCTCTGGGGAAGTCAGCGGAGGACTCCCGAGGCCTCTGAAGGCCCGACAGGGCCAACGGCTTGCAAACGCGTCCAACATTATTCGGCTTACTGCGAGGAGCGGATGAGAGAGGAGAATCCTGGGTCCCCCGGGGGTCTCTGGAAGTGGGTCTCTGAGCTCTCCTGGGGCTCCTGCTGGCTTCTGGAAACTGATGGAGGCCTTGCGTCTCGATCGCCAGACCGACGACGCCTCTCGGGAGCAAAGAAACGAGGTCGAGGCGGGAGGAGGCGCGGAGGAGGAGGCGGAGGAGGAGGAGGAGGAGGAGGAAGAGGAGGAAGTTGAAGAGGAGGAGGAGGAGGAGGAGGAGGAGGAGGAGGGAGGAGGAGGAGGAGGAGGAGGAGGGAGGAGGAGGGAGCAGGAGGAGGAGGAGGAGGAGGGGGAGGAGCTGCCATCCTGGGGACGCTGCGGTCGGCACTCCGCGCCCTCGCTGCTCCGAGAGCAGCCGGCGCCTAGTAGAGTCTGTGGCAGGTTCGCGCCGTGCTTCAGGAGGGAAAACACACACACAGACACAATGAATCGTCGATCCCCCAGAAGATATGGGAAAATATGGGAAGTGGGGGGGAAGACAAAATCAGAGAAAATATATGGGAACGTATGGGGAATTCTTTGTATTTGTGTGCATTTGTTTATGTGTGTCCCAGGGCCCCTCCAGTGTTGACGCGGCGGCGGCCCCAGCGCGGGCGCTCAAGGCTGAAAGCCCGTCGGTTGCCTGGGATCGGCCGGCATCGAAAGATCTGCACCATCGGAACTTCCGATGGGCGTCGCACGCTCGAGAGGGCGGCTGGCCTTTTCGGCGGCCGACGCACGGGCGGCGCACGGGCGACGAATGCGCGACGCACCTCTTGTCGCGAAGGGGGGGGTCAGCACGCCGGTCGTCTTACTGGGCCTTAACAATCGGGAGGAAGCGATCGTCCAGATTTGAACCATCCACTCGGTGGCAGGCACCAGCGCCGACATCGTCGCAGCGTGAACCTGCTCGCCCCATCCCCCGGCCCAAATCATTTCAACCCAGTTTTTGGGAGCCTCACGAAGCTCTTCCACGGAGGCCTCTCAGTGCTTCTGGAGACCAGACAGGGAGAATTATGTGCAAGAAAGAGCGCGCTGTGCAAGACGCGAGGGACAAAAGGGTGGCCCCAGCTTACCCTTTCCACCCCCTCCTTTCACCAGGGTGGGGGGGCTTCCAAAGCTACCCCCCCCCCGTCAGCAACCTTCGAAAGTGAGGGGGAGGGGGGGGGGGCTTCGGACCACCCGTCACTTGTGGCCTTGTGGTGGCGGGGTAAGCTAGGGCAGCCCTCTGCAGAGGGTGAGGGGGGTTTCAGAGGCTCCCCTCCCCCTCCTCTTGGATTCCTGCTGTCAATGTAAGGCCGGGCTTCGCTTTCCAATTTTGGGGGGGGGCCTGCCGAGGCTGCCCCGCTCTCAGTCCCTTTGCGAGGCTGTGCGTTGTGGCACAAAGTGTGGCTGCTTCGGGCCCCCGTCCCCGCACCCTCTCCCCACCCCTGGGGGGGGTGGGGGCGCCGCGCGTCTGGAAGAGACGCGGCGGCGTTCGAAAAGTTCCCCAAGCAGAGCTTGCCGCTGTTCCCCCATCAGAGCTTGTCTCTGTGTGGGCCCTGGCGGATTCCTATGGTTCGGTGAGGTTTTTGCCACCGACCTCCGCGGCCCGCCCGGGTGTCCAGGTGCCCGGGTGCCTTGTAGCCCAACAGCCCTGTAGGCCCACGGCCCAATATCATTAAAGCCCTATAGCCCAATAGCCCTATAGCGCTATAGCCCTATAGACTCATAGCCCTGTAACCCTAGAGCCTTAGAGCTCTATAGCCCTATAGCCCTCTAGCCCCATAGCCTTGTCGCCCTATAGCCCGGTAGCCCAATTGCCCTATATCCCTATAGCCCAAATAGCCTTACAGCCGTATAGCCCTATAACCATACAGCCCTATAGCTCTATATGCCTACAGCCCTATAGCCCAATAGCCTTATAGCCCTATAGCTCTATATGCCTATAACCCTATTGTCCCATAGCCCTATATCCCTATAGCTCTATAGCCCTATGGTCCTATAGCCCTGTAGCCCCATAGCCCTATAGACTCATAGCCCTATGGCCCTATAGCCCCATAGTCCCAGAGCCCCGTAGCCACATAGCCCTACAGCCCTATGGCCCTAGAGCCCTCTAGCCCTATGGCCCGATAGACCTACAGCCCTATGGCCCTATAGCCCTATAGCCCCATAGCCCTATAGCCCCATAGCCCCATCGCCCTATAGCCCCATAGCCCCATAGCCCTATAACCCTAAAAAGACTTTGATTGGGGCTCCTCTCCGGTATCATAGGGGTCCTAGCGGATTCATATGGTTGAGGTGTGCCCCCGATTTCCGCGGCCCGCCCGTGTGCCCAGGTGCCCGGGTGCCGGGGTGCCTTATAGCCCTATAGCCCTATAGCCCTATAGCCTTAGCCCTGTACCCGATAGCCCCATAGCCTTATAGCCCAATCGCCCTATAGCCCTATAGCACCATAGCACCATAGCCTTATAGCCGTATAACCATATAACCTCATAGCCATATAGCTCTATATGCCTATAGCCCTGTAGCCCTATAGTCATATAGCCCTATAATCCCATAGCCCTACAGACCTACAGCCCCAAAGCCCCAATGCCAGAGATTCGCGGCGACCTGATGCAGCCTCCACATGGCGACTCGAAGTGCGCCGTGTTCGTTCTCATAGTTGGTATGCCAATATGCACACCCATGGGCTGCCACAGCCTACGGCATGAGCGAGCGAGCGGGGACCTGATTGAGGAGCAGATTCTTCAGCATCTTTATTTGTCCACGAAATTTAAAACTGGGCGTTGGTCTTGGTGTGTCGCTGGTTGCTCCCTGCATTCTCGTGCGCGAGCACTCTGTTGATGATCAGAACTGCAATCTCCTCCCACGCGTCTCTCCCGCCTGACACACCGTTTCGCACTTTGCCCTGCCATCTTCCAGTGCTCCCATGCAGAAGGGTGTCGATGACCAACTGCAGTGTCTGCCCGCTCTTCGTCGGGACTCGCTGCCGGCGTCGCCGCGGCCAGTGCCCATTCGAGACAAAGTGTCGCCTGCCGCAGAGGGGCCGCTCTGGGTTTGGGACAGCGCTTGCGGATGCGCGTCGTGCACCGCTTTTTGTCCGCACCCGCTTCGGGCGTGCCAGTCTTTGTGGCTCCGAGTTGTCTCCCGCCCCGTGCGGCGAGGGGGCCGGCTCGCGGCAGCCGCCCTCTGCCGTGCCGCGCCGCGTCCGAGCCCGGGTCGCGGCGCGGAGCCACAGGAGCGCAGGTCGAGAGTCCGAGCCTTTCCGGGCGAAGGCCCGGGGCCCCGCGGAGGCACCCCGCAGAAGAGAGGCGTGGCAGGGGGAGGGAGGAGGAGGAGGAGGAGGAGGAGGAGGAGGAGGAGGAGGAGGAGGAGGAGGAGGAGGAGGGGTGGCGCCTCGCTTGACCATGTCGGCCGTCGTCGCCGCCCACGCCGCCGTTCTTTCCTTCAGCCTGCAGGGCTAACCACTCGCAGTTTCTCCTCTTCCTCCTCCTCGCCCTCCTCCTCCCCCTCCCTCCTCCCGTCCCTCCAGGATCGCCCCTCTCGCGGTCCGATGTTCTGTTCGTCCTCCTCCGCTGCTGCGGCTCACGCGCAGCTCGATGTAGGGCCAGGCTTGGCCTGGTCACTGCGCTTCTGCGGATTGCTTACCGCTGTTTGTTCGCAGCTGCGCCTCCTCGTCGTGCCCTCTATGTAGTCGGCGCTCTGCAGCCAAGGTCGAGCACAACGCCCCAGCAAACGTGCCCGCCCGTACAGGGTGGATGCTCCCCGCTTCGTGCATGAGACACATGGCAGGGGGGGGTGTTCCCAGCTTGCTTGGCGATTGCTCTTCGCGAGTTGTGTGCAGCCCTCTGTTTGCAGTTGAGCTTGCCAGGGAGACGATGCGCGCCGTGTGCCTGCACGCCTTGGAGGATCTCGGGATCCCGCGAGCCGCCTCATACAGGGGCCAGGCCCACACCAACCCAAGGGGACCCAGAAGGCCCAGTCGTTTCAAGACCCCAAAGATGCACCACAACGTCCATCCATCCATTTGACCCTCAAGGTCCTCCGACCCTCTGGTTCCCGCCTGCCATCGCTCATCACAGCCAAACCTCGGCGACGGACTTGGCGCCCAGAGGACACGATTTGCAGCATCGGTGGCTCTCGCCCACCCCTGGCTGCATGCACTAGCAGTCGCCCCACAGCACCATACTTTGCCTCGATGCCGGGCTATGAAACAGATGGTCCAAGAGAACTCTGAGATTCCCATTCCCGATGGAACATTAATATTTCTGGCATATTCGCTTTATTGGGCTCATGGGTGCCCACGACGACCCCCGAGATGGCTGTAAGACAGCCCCAGACACCCCAGAAGCGTTCCACACCAGTCCCAGAGAGCTCCAAGACAGCCCAGGCATCGCCCAAGACCGTCCCAGAAAGGCCCAAGCTGGCCACAAGAGCCCCCAACGGCCTCAGAATCCTCCAAGACGTCCAAAGAGAGCCCAAGATGCCCAAGGAGGCTTCAAGAAGCATCCCTAGCTCGCGAGCGTCTGTCCACGACGACCCCAGAGGTCCCCGAGATGACCCTGAGACAGCCGCAGAGACCGAGAAAGGTTCCGCATCGATCCCAGAGAGCCCCAAGACAGCCCATGAAACGCCCAAGACCGTCCCAGAAAGGCCCAAGAGTGCCACAAGATGGCCCCCCAAACGGCCTGAAAGGCCTCCAAGACGCCCCAAGAGAGCCGCATGAGCCCTCTGGGACGCCCAAACATGGCCTCGGAGGAGGAGGAGGGGAGGGGAGGGGATAGGAGGGGAGGAGAGGGGAGGGGAGGAGGAGGAGGGGAGGAGGAGGAGGAGGAGGAGGAGGAGGAGGAGGAGGAGGAGGAGGAGGAGGAGGAGGAGGAGGAGGAGGAGGAGGAGGAGGAGGAGGAGGAGGAGGTAGGAGGAGGAGAGGAGGAGGAGGAGGAGGAGGAGGAGGAGGAGGAGGAGGAGGAGGAGGAGGAGGAGGAGGAGGAGGAGGAGGAGGAGGAGGGGAGGGGAGGGGAGGGGTGGGGAGGGGAGGGGAGGGGGAGGGGAGGGGAGGGGAGGGGAGGGGAGGGGAGGACGACGGCCCCACAGACCCACAAGATTCCCAAAGAGAGCTCCAAGAAGCATTCCCAAGAGGGCGCCAGAGGCAAAAGTCGTTCCAGTCCCAGTGGGGGATATACGTGTTGAGCATATTCGATCGCGAGTGTCCACGACGGCCCCATTGGCCCTTGAGATGGCTGCAAGGCAACCCCGGAGACCCCCAAAGTGTTCCACAACGGTCCCAGCGAACCTTCAGACAACCCAGGAACCGCCAAAGACCGCCTCAGAAAAACCCCAAAGGGCCACAAGATAGCCCCTAAACGGCTTCAGATGCCCCAGGAGAGCTCCAATAAGCACCCCCAAGTGGCCCCCTAGACCCTAGAAGCCACAATCGCCCCATTCCCTTGAGGTAAACTGTATACGTTTGGCATGTTCGCCCTTTCGGGCTGAAGAGTGTCCACGGAGGCTCCAGAGTACCACGAGATGGCCCTGAGGCAGCCCCAGTGACCCCGAAAACGTTCCACGACGGTCCGAGGGAGCTCCAGGACAGCCCAGGAAGCTCCAGAAGAGCCACCGAAGGGCCCCAGGAGAGCCCCAAGAGAGCTCCAGGAGCGGCTGTCGGGCGCTCCCTTTGGGAGAGAGGCTCCCACCACCCTGCCGTAAGCCTCCCAGACGCTCCCGCGAAGCCTCCAGACGCCCCCGAGAGGCCCTCCAGAGGGCAAAGCCATCCCAACAGAGCCTCGTCTTCCGCGAAGACGCCAGAGTCCGCAAGAGGCCCAGCTCGATCGGGCTCGAGGGAGGATGTCGCGGGAAAGGCAGGGGCCAGGAGTGTTGGCCGTGATTCCTACGTTGCAGAAATACTTTGCAAGAGAGAGGGTGGAGGTGGATCCTCGGCAACACCCCAACATACTTATACTATATGTGCGTCGCCCCCCCAGGGGCGACGCGCGCACCGAGAAATCTTATAGTATATGCGTCGTGGCGGGCGCTTTCTGGCCACACCGCTCGGGAAACGATATACTACAAGATGGGTATACTATATGTTCGGGTCGGACGCGCGCCTCCAAGGAGGACATATAGTACTAGTATGTCCATGTGCGTCCCAGTGGAGGGGGATGGGAAATGGACCAAAAGGATGGGGAGGAGATCTGTATTCGGTCGAGCGGAGCGGGAAGGGCGACGGGGCGGGAACGGAGGCAGCGATGACGAGAAGGATCGGCCCGCCGAGGGAGCGCGGTCGTGGCAGTGACACGAGGAGGAGGAGGAGGAGGAGGAGGAGGAGGAGGAGGAGGAGGAGGAGGAGGAGGAGGGGGGAAGGAGGAGGAGGAGGAGGAGGGAGGAGGAGGAGGAGGAGGAGGAGGGGGAGAGGAGGAGGAGGAGGAGGAGGAGGAGGAGGAGGAGGAGGAGGGCGACGATGACCACAGGAACAGACGGAGGACGGACACACCTAGATACGAGGAAGGGCGAATAGCCGAGGAAGCAGCAGGGGAAGAGGAGAGGAGAGACGGCCAAGGAGTGAGGAGGGCAGGAGACCCGAGGGCGAAGGTACGGGCAGGGAGAAGGACGAAGCCATCGCAAGTGTACGCTGTGTGAGCTCTGGATAGCATCGGGGGTGGACAGAACCCCCAACAGTGACACGTCGAGTAGTGAATTGTCTGTTTTCGGTTCTCGAGAGGGCGCCGTGGCCGTTATTTTCCAGGCTCGCGCCCGCTAGGTTTGGGCCTCAGGTCGTTTTCACTAAACCACGTTGTACTAAAGGGGGGTCTGTCCATCCCCGATAGCAGGCTCGACCAGCCCCTCGACAGATCGAAGCTGCTCGAGATGCTGACATTCTGTTTCGGCCTCATGACGCCGAGCCCGCACACGAAAATTCCAGGACCAGACTCGAACCTCAGCGCGCTCGAAGTGCATATGTATACACGTGTACATGTATGTGTCTTTCAAGGTCGGCAAACCTGCCCTGGATCGAACAATATGTTTCTGGCCGCGACGCGTGGCATATTCCTCCAACAAGTTAAGTGAGCTGAGCTTCACTTGGTTGGTCGGCTGGTTGGCTTGCTGGTTGCCGGACCAACGCAATTCGTTCTGGAGCGGTTTTTTGGTTGGTTGTCGGTTGGATGGGCGCTTGGCCAGTTGGTTAATTTGCTGGCTGGTAGGCCAGGTTTTCTAACTGCCCAGTGGGAATGTTGGGCATTTGGTTGGTTGGTTGGGCGCTGGTTGTGAGTCTGGTTGGTTGGTTTGCTAGTTGGCTGGCTGGCTGGCTTGTTGGTTGGTTGGTTGGTCCTTGTCCCTCTCCCTGCCTCTCCATGTGTTCTGTGCGTTCTCCCTCCTCGATCCCCGAGAGTGGAGGAGCAGAAACGATGAGGATGAGGTGGTGCAGGGCCCAGGGGCCGTCAAGCAAAGCCTCCAGATGCAGATGGGCGGAAGCAGATACTATCACACTGTACTCGTCAGGTGGCAACGCCTGGGGGTGAGGGGGGAAACGACATTCCACTATTCTCGCTGTGTGGCAGCGCCCGGGGAACGACGCATAGAATCCCATTCTAGTCGCCGCGTGTCAACGCAGCGTGGCCGAACACGCAATACTCTGCTCTACTCGTCACGTGACAGTGCAGCGTGGTGGACAAACGCATATGCTGCTCTTGCTCGTCACGCTGCGGCGTATGAGGGCGACAAACATGCAATCATAGTTGATTCGCCGCGTGCAGCGCAGCGGGGCTAAGCGAATACGATTCGGCTCTGCTGCTCGCACAGCGCCGCAGATCGACGAACACTGGTACTGTTCCACTCTATTCGTCGCGTGGCAATGCCGGGGGGGGGGGGGCAACACATATTTGTGTATAGCCCAGCAGGGCGGCACAAGCACTAATCCGCTCTACTCCTCCCACAGCGCCGCAGAGAGGCGGACACAAAACCACTGCTCGGCTCCAAAGTCGTGCGTGGCACCGCCTGGGGTGAGCGAGGCAGCACACGACGCCGCTCTGCTCGACACGCGGCAGTGCACGGGGGACGGGCAAATATTTGTTTGCTCGCCACGTGGTAACGGAACGGGGCGCAAATATTGGCCACGCGCAGAGGGGGGTAGGGGGAGGGGGGAAGGCTTCTCAGAAGCACGCCTGCTTCTTAGAAGGCGCGGGCCTTATCTATATCTGCAAGGCCGGCGCCTTCTAAGAAGCAGCCTGCTTCTAAGAGGCCTTCCCCCCTCCCCCTACCCCCTTGTGCGCGCCGCCAAACATATGTTACTCCACTTGTCACGTAGCAGTGTCTGGGGTGGGGGGGGGGGCGACTAGCATCGTCGCTGATCCCGCAGAGCGGGAGTCATGGCGCGCCCCTACGACCGACATTCTCACGCAGGTTTTGCAAGCAGTTTGTGCTCGGGGTGTGGCTTCGACGACGGTCGCTACCATTTGTTGCAAGTTCTCTCAGGGCCATCTTGGCGTCCCTTGGGAGGGCGGGCGGTCCTAGGAGCCAACAGACGGTCGTTGCGGGTCCATGGGCCCTCGAAGTACGTGACGGGTGTCCCGGACCGAGGCTCCCTTGGACCGTCTGGTGGATCAGCCAAAAGCCCTTGATCCTTGGGAGTCCATGGGGTACGAAGTGCAGGAGGGGTGTGCCGAATTGAGGCTCCTTCAGCTGTCTTGATGGCTGGCGGATCGCCCCTGGAAGTCTTTGGGGCCGAAATGCGAGAGGGGTGTGCCAAAATAATGATGCAAGGAGATCTCCGGAGCGCCAGCTGAGCGCGCATGATGCACGAAGTGCCAGGAGAGTGGAAAAGCTAATCCATCTTTTTTACATGTTCCAGGGGGTTGTGGGTCCAAGCCGCGATTGTTTACGTGTCCGAGGCGTTCCGTAGCAGAGTTGAGTGAGCGTTTTCTCATTCATTGTTTTGCCGATCGGCGCGGGCCTTCGCACCCCCCTCTCCCTCCCCCGTGGAGCAGATCTTGGCTGTTTTTGGCGCCTGTTTCGAGCAGGTGGAGTCTCCCCCATAGGACGCACTGTTGCAAACAGTCGCGTTAAGCAGAGGTCCCGAGCCAAACCCCCCTTTCACCCCCCTTCCGCCCAATGTCGAAACGCCGAATAAGAAAACGTTCACCTCATCATCATGTGTATATGCAGAGAGAGAGAGAGAGAGAGAGAAAAAAAAAAAAAAAAAAAGAGAGAGAGAGAGAGAGAGAAAGAGAGAGAAAGAGAGAGAAACACAAACAAGAACACAGGTACATCCACCCAAATGTGACAGTCTTATCCATACAACGTGCCCAGAAAACCTCAGCCCTTGGCCCTTGCCCCTTGGCCCGCGCCCCTTGCCCCCACCGCTCGCCGACCCGCCAGCGAGTCGAAGCTTTACGTGCCCGCCGACCGCGTGGGCCAGATCGTCGGGCGCGCGCCCCGGCCGCGTCGGCACGACGACCGGCGACGGCGACGGCGACGACGACGACGACGACGGCGAAGACGACGGCGGCGACGGCGAAGACGACGGCGACAGCGACGGCAACGGCGACGGCGACGACGACGGCGACGGCGAAGACGACGGCGACAGCGACTGCGACGGCGACGACGACGACGACGACGACGACGACGACGACGACGACGACGACGACGACGACTACGACGACGACGACTACGACGGCGACGACGACCGCGACGGCGACGGTGACAGCGACGGCAACGGCGACAGCGACGGCGACGACGACGACGACGACGACGGCGACGGCGACGGCGACGGCGAAGACGACGGCGACGGCGACGGAGACGGCGACGACGACGGCGACGGCGACGGCGACGGCGACAGCGACGGCGACGGAGACGGCGACGGCGACGGCGACGGAGACGGCGACGGCGACGGCGACGGCGACGACGACGACGACGACGACGACGTCGGCGATCAACGGCGGCGGCGACGACTGCGATCGACGACGGTGGCGACAGCGGCGACGACGACGGCGACGACGACGAAGATGAAGGCGACATGGTCTCCATTACGGCCTCGCTCATGGTTCTTCTATGGCCTCCCTTGTGGCCGTCCCCCTTCTGGCCGTCTCCCTTTTGTAGTGCTCCCTGGTGTGCTCTCTATCTACCCTTCACTCTCCATCGTACTCTCTGGAGTGTTCCCTGTCACGTATACTCGGGAGAGCTGTTTGGGGCCTGCTGCCGCCGATGGCGTGCTTCGTCTGCGCTTGGACCCAGCAGGCAGGGTCCGGGACCGCGCCCTGCAACGTGAAGCTCGTGAGCGTTGGCTCGCACTCTGCCGCACCGACAGACGGGAAGCGAGAAGCAGGAATACTGATGACGATGACGATGCTTGTTGAATGCTGAGCTCGCCCTGCACTCAGCATTCAACAATCGCCGTCTTCGTCGTCGTCGTCGTCGGCCTCGACCTCGCCCTCGTCCTTCTCGTCGTCGTCATCGTTGTCGTCGTCGTCGGCCTCGTCCTCGTCGTCGTCGTCGTCGTGGTTGTCGTCGTCGGCCTCGTCCTCGTCCTCGCCGTCCTCGTCGTCGTCGTCGTCGTCGTGGTTGTCGTCGTCGTTATCGTCCTCGTCGTCGTCGTCGTCGTCGTCGTTGTCGTCAGCGTGGTCTTCGCCTATCCGCCGTCGCCCTCCTGCCAGTCCTGCCAGGCCAGCCGCCGCGGCCCGGGGGGGGCGCGCCTGCCCCCGCCACCGCCCCCGCCTCTCCTGCGCTGCCCTCCGCCGCCACAGATGGCGGTGACGACGGGGAGGAGGGAGCCCACGACGAGGAGGAGGAGGAGGAGGAGGAGGAGGAGGAGGAGGAGGAGGAGGAGGAGGAGGGGAGGAGCAGGAGGAGGGAGGAGGAGGAGGAGGGAGGAGGAGGAGGAGGGAGGAGGAGGAGGGGAGGAGCAGGAGGAGGAGGAGGAGGAGGAGGAGGGGGAGGATTGGGCTGAGTGGTTGGACCGCCGCGGCAAGTGCAGCGAGAGGGCGAATCTAGAGGTTGCCAGATGGGAGCAGCGGCGCTCGCTCCCTTCCGCCGAGGCGCGGCGGCGAGAACCTGCGGAAGGCCCGAGAGGTCCGAGGCGCTCGCGCTGACGAGCCCGCAGACCGTCGCGGGGCGGCTCTGCCACGCTCTGCCCGCGACGACGACGACGACGACGACGACGACGACGACGACGACGACGACGACGACGACGACGACGACGACGGCGGCGGCGGCGGCGGCGACGACGACAACGACGACGACGACGGCGACGACGAGGACGACGACGACAACGGCGTCGAGGATGACCACGGCGACGAGGACGGCGGTGGCGACGGCGACGACGACGACGACGACGACGACGACGACGACGACGACGGCGACGACGACGACGGCGGCGGCGGCGGCGGCGGCGGCAACGGCGACGACGGCGTCGAGGATGACCACGGCGACGAGGACGGCGGTGGCGACGGCGACGACGACGACGACGACGACGACGACGGCGGTGGCGACGGCGGCGGCGGCGACGGCGTCGAGGATGACCACGGCGACGAGGACGGCGATTCGACGGCGACGACGACGACGACCCGACAGCAGGGACGAAGACGACGACGACGACGACGACGACGACGACGACGACGACGACGACGACGACGACGACGACGACGACGACGGTTGCGGCGGCGGCGGCGGCAACGGCGACGACGACGGCGACGGCGACAACTCTCGTGTGTGCGCGTGTCCGTTGGCGGCGGCCCTCGCCTGTGACACGCGGTGCTGCGTGTCCTGCTTTGCCTCGCTGCGGCGCGTGGACAGTGGCCGGCCCGCTCCGCGCAGGAAGGGTGCGGGTTCGAGCGCGAGGGGGTTCGGGGCGCGGCAGGGGGCACGGGAGGGTGGGAAGGCAATGCGACTCAAGCGATGGTGCTTATCCAGCTGGTGACGGCAGCGGCCTGCGCGACTAGGTTTGGCCTCCCCGCGTCCCCCGGTCAAGCCGCGCACCAAAGGGCACGCTTGCCCAGGGCCACTCTTGCGTGCAGTCGATGTGTGTGTGTGTGTTCCGATGACTTCCCGGTGGGGCCCCAGCCGAATTTCCATTGTGCCCCGATGGCGTCGTGATTGAGTTGGCGTGTGAGCGCGGCCCCAGACAGCTCGTCCACACTGGCTGCTACCACTGCGCTCACAGGCACGGTGGACAGCAGTCCAGCAGTGTTTCGATGCGGCTCTTGTGCGCAGTTGGACTTCCAAGCGACGCGACGAATTGCACAATTGTTGAACGAGCTTCTGCAAGAAGCTTGGCATACTGGAGACAAGTGGGAGTGCCACGCGTGAGAGGAACAAGGATGTGACGGCAGGCAAACATTCCAGACAGGAGGAGATATATTCTAAGCCCCGTTTTGCCAAGAGCTTTACAGAGGGGACTGTCCCACTTATTGCTACTCATTGCTGCCCTTCCTGGTTGCGCACCCTACGGGTGTTGGGGAGAGAGTCGCGCAGTACCAGGCGCACTCTTGCAATCGAGGTGTGTGAGGTGTTGAGTAAGAGGGCCACAAGCGTGATGTAAGATGTGGCGTTGGTTGCACTTTGACGTGTTACATCGTAGTCGCATTTCGTGTGGAGTACATGGCGTATGCATTGCATTGCATGCATGTGCGCGTGTGTTCGTGACATAATCCATGATAGCAGTAGCTTTAGCATCACCGTTCACGCTCATGCACAGTATCGATGTCAACGGTCGCGTCAACGTAGCCGCTGCCAAACTTCATAGTGGCGTTCCTAATGGACCTCGTTCCAAAGCATATTCCGATAAACACGCGTGTTCTAATTTCGATGCGGAATGCAGTGTCGACGTCGATGTTGAAATTGATGATTATGTGAACGTTAGAAAGTGTATCGATGCACCAATCACGTTGTTAGGCGGGCGACTTAATGTGTTGCGTTGTAGTGCGGGTGCAGGTGAGGTAGCATGACACGGAGCGGGACAATACAATGCGATGTACCTTTTTGTACGCGCATGTTTTTGGGAAAACATGCACGTGGGTGCGCAAGGACCCAGGACCCTGCGAATTTCATACGCGGGCAATCCCAGTAGCACAAATCCTAGAATAGCCGACCATGCAGCTTGTTTTCAGACATGTTTGTTCAGAAACGTGCGGTCTGCCTTACCAGCAGCCCGACCATCTGACTACATGCAGTGCGGAGAGTAACATGCATGCCGGGCCTTGCTGTATATGGTTGCATAAAAGGCGCGTGGGAAGCATAGGGAGCAAGGAGAACAGGAAAGAAGCAAGCTATTGTGAGCGCTCCTTTCGCGCCCCTCCCTCTCTCTCTCGCTCTCTCTCTCTCTCACTCTCTCTCCTGAGCTGCCTCTGGACCTCTCGTGAGGCACGTTCTGTCCAGAATCTCGAGGCGGGTCCAGCCGTGGCCACGAGAACGCCCTCCCGCCTCGAGTCTCAAGCCTCGATCCTCCCTAACCTCCTGCCAGCACCGCCCTGCAGCGCCAGGTCTGCAACGTGCGCGTGCAGGTCGAGCGGGAGCCGGTCGGGCGCGGGGCCGTTCGGATCGAGTCGCCGCTGTGCCCTCGCCGGGCAGCGGTCCGCTGACCAGCGAGGGCCCGGCATCACCAACGCACACGTGTAATGCTCGGGCGACGCGCGTGCTCTCAGAGTCCTCATACAGGCCTCGGAACAAATTAGCGAACACATGCCACATTCATCCGTCAACGCCTCCCCCTCCCCCCAATGTTCAAAGTTGGCGGTGGGTCTGATGAGATGCACTTCGACCGCAGTCTCCCCCGCGCGTGCCAACGTTGAGTTTGGGGGGAAGGGGAGTGTTCAGTAATTGTTTCCCTCTACCGTATCAGAGGAGGGCGAGTTGAGACAACGGCAGTGCGCCTTCGGGGGGGGGGGCCATCGCTGCGGCTGGATGCGGCTCGGAAAACTGGGCGCGTCTGGACCCCGGGAAGGGTCCGGGGACCGATTTTGATGCGCCGTCGTCTCGACTCGCTTTGCTGCGATCATAGCGTAAGCTCCATGACGGGCGCCATCTGGCCATGACGCTTCGGCAACGGTGTGTTGCCATCGGGGGTGCGAAGATGAGCGCGCTTCGCGCGTCGTGGCTTGGACCAGAGCGGCTGCCCAACTCCAAGCGCGCGGCGCGAGAGCGCGGAGATAGGGCGCGATGCGCAAAGGCTGTGACTTGGATCGTCCTAGACATACTCCTATGTCTTTGTCCTAGCCAACCGAAACACGTAGTACTAGTACGTTCTCATGCTCCCCTCAGGGGCAACGTTAGGAGGGGGTGCGGTCAGGGTGGACGCATCGGTCCCCCGATTGTCCACTCATCGCCGACGAGGCCCGATAGGCCAGCCCGCCCAGGAAGGCGCGGCTCTTAGAGGGAAAGCGCTCCGACCTGGCGAAGGGAAAATTGCGTGGGCCGCGCAGGGGAGGGAGCATAGCGCATCTTCCGGTGGGCGCGGCGAAGACGAAGCATGCGCGGCGCCCTAACGGCATTGCCACTTTCAGTCACACTTTGCGCGGCGCTTGGGCGAGGTCGGCATTTCGCCCGTTCTCGCTCGGTAGGAGGAGGAATGGGTATCCCTCCAGGAGGGGCCCTCCTCCTCCTCCTCCTCCTCCTTCTTCTCCTCCTCTCTCGCCTCCTCCCTTCCCCTCCATCCTCCTTCCTCCTTCCTCCTGCTCCTCCTCCTCTCCCCTCCCCCCTCCCCCTCTCCCCCCATCCTGGTAGAGCCACCGCTCTTATCAGGTCGTGGACCCGAGCTCCGGCAAGGAGGAGAGGCTCGTGACCCTGTGCGGGGAGTCGGCCCAGCTGGCCGTGGCGCTCCGGTGCGTGCTGGGCCCAGGAGGGCGCAGCGGGAGGAAGACCTGCCCCTCCGTAGGTCAGGGGCGACGCTGGGGGGGGGGATAGGCTCAGGGGGGGACGTATTGATTCCCAATCGTTCGGTAGCAAATCATGGGAGCCTGGTACACCCCCTGAATTTCATCTTCAGCGTTGATTCGCGTCGATGAGCGCTTGGGAGTCGATGGGATAGCGCCGATGTATCGTCGTTTAGCGTCGATTCAGCGTCGACTAGTGTCGCCTAGCGTCGATTTGCGTCGATTCGCAAGAGCCGGCAAGATGGTATGGAAGGCTCAGAGAAGCAGGAAGACAACATTTGCAGGACTGCGAGGCCCACGGTTCGGGCCCGTCTCACTGCGATGAGCGGGTCCCAGAGAGGCGCAGAATTGTTTCTCCAGGGTCACCTTCAGGAAGAACCCCTCCTCCTCCTCCTCCTCCTCCTCCTCCTCCTCCTCCTCCTCCTCCTCCTCTTCCTTCCTCCTGCTCCTGTTCCTGCTCCTCTTCCTCC